GTTCCACTATTGGAAATATACCCTAAAAAAATCAGAGCCATAACTCAAACACACACATATATATATTGTTGTTGTTATGTGCCATCAAGTCACCTACGACTCTTAGAGACCCTGTGTACAATAACCCTAAACTCTGCCCTATCCTGTGCCAATCTCACTATCTCCAACATTCCCCCATTACCCCCCAGTCACTGAATCAATCTACCTCACCGAGGATCTTCCTCTCCTTCGCTGTCCCTCCACCCTCCCAAGCATGACATCCCTCTCTAAGGACTGATCCCTCCTTACAATATGTTCAAAGTATGTCAGACATAGCTTCAGAATCCTTGCCTCTAAAGAGCAGCCTGGCTTCACCCTCTTGAGGACAAACCTGTTCGTTTTCTTAACAGTAAATGGTATATTCAATACTTTTCTCCAACACCACAGCTCAAAGGCATCAATTCTCCTTCTGTCATCCCTAGTCATTGTCCAGCTCTCTGATGCATAGCAAATGATTGCAAAGACCATGGCATATATCAGGCATACCTTAGTCTCCAGACTGACATCGTTACATTTCAGTACTTTAGAGAGGTCTCTTAACTGCAGACTTTCCCATCGCAGTATGTCTTTTAATCTCCTGGCTGCTGTTGCCAAGAGTGTTGACTGTGGAGCCAAGCAAACCAAAACTGTGAACAGTTCTGTTCATATAATCTGTTCTGCATAAAGATTGAAAAGGTATGGACACCTGTATTTACTACTGCATTATACACAATAATAGAGATGAAAGAAACCAAAGTGTCCATCAACAAAAGAATGGATAGAAAAAATTATGGTGCATTTTCAGAATTATCCAGAAGGCTGGGCTCTTTGAGGAGAAATGTAGCATCAGGATTGGAGGAAGACTCATCAACAATCTGCGTTAATCAGATGACACAACCTTGCTTGCTGAAACTGACGAGGACCTGAAGCGCTTGCTGTGGAAGGTCAAGGACTGCAGCCTTCAATATGGATTGAAGCTCAACATCAATAAAACAAAGATTCTCACCACTGGGCCAATTGGCAGCATCATTATAGAGGGTGAAGAGATTGAGATTGTTAACAGTTTTTGTTTGCTTGGCTCCACAATCAACACTCTTGGTACCAGCAGCCAGGAAATTAAAAGATGAATTGCATTGGGAAAGTCAG